TCATAGTCAAGAGGACCCTAAGGAGACATGACTAAATGTAGTATGGGGTCCTGGAACAAAAAAAGGACATCAGATGCAAACTAAAGAAATCTGAAGTATGGACTTTAGTTAATAATAATGTGTCAATATTGGCTGATGAATTGCAACAAGCTTACCATACTAAGGTGTTAATAATGGGGGGGGAAAGGGAATGCCTGGGTTATGTAGGAACTCTGTAGAACCTTCTATTTTTCTGTAAATCTAAAACTGTTCTAAAAAAGTAGTTTATTAAAAAGCATAGATAAAATTTGTAAATGATTTAAAGTAAGTTAACAAAAACGGTTTAATTCTTCAGTTGAAATGGGCAAGGTTAGGACTGCCTGTGCGCATCAGCAAAAATATGACTTGAAGAGGTGGTAGATACATAATTTATATCACTTCATCCTGCTGGTCTTTGAATCTTTATCAGATAAAGGCTGTGTATCCATCAGTTTTGGTGGAGGAAGGGTTAGTAATAATAATTTATCAAAACTAACAGAAATTTATAAAATTACTGAATCACTCAAAATGTCTGGGTGGCCTAGCTGATGAAGATCATTTCACGTGGAAAGGATCCCTGTGTTACTACCTTCCTTTTCTTTAGCATATGGTGGTTTATGAAGCTCTTTAATGATGTTTTATCCTTATACTGTCCTGGGAGCAGAACAGGCATTTTTATCCCCCATTATCAATACTCATAGTGTTTTCTCCAGCATACCTGCTGCCTTAGCTAAAGATTTAAATCGTTAAAATTAAAATAATTTCTACAGCTAGAAATAATCCATCGGAGCAAATGTATATATAACATGTTTCATATAATTTTTACAAAGGGAAGATGATAAACTTACTGTCTTCCATTGTAGCTTGGAGTTAACAGTAATATGAAAATAGAATACAGAATTTTCTTTTTCAGGATTTATCATTGTGATATAAATAATGCACCATGAAATATTTTGTAGCTTTGTATATTTTTATTGTAGCAGACACCATTAAGATTAAAGCTGAAAAACATTTTTACCTGATTTCTGAGAGTATACCGAGGGAAATTGTGGAATATGTTCTTAGAGGCTTTAAAAGTCCAGTAAAAACTCAGACTATTCTAGTGATTGAGAACTACATAAAGATGGCTTAAGTAGCTTTTCTAAGTTATCAGCCCTGAGGGACGAAATACATATTAGTGACATTAAGGACAGTGACTGCCTTCATCTCTTAAAGCACTCTTGCACTGTACTCCGGGCTGCCTAAAATGAAGAAGGATCATTTGACGGAAGACTAGATCACCTGACTTAGTAGTATAGTGGTCTGCTGTTATCACCACTCTGGTGATGATAGATGGAAAAGTTGGGAGACTATGAAATAGCATTTGGACAGTAGTAAGAACAGTGGGGACCTCCCCGCTTACATTTGTGCTAAACTTCCCATTACTTCCATAATAGAAGGAGGTAAATTGCATCTACTTTGAACCCAAAGTTTTCTCATTAGAAGATTAGCAGTCTCATTTCTTCTAAAACGCAATGTTGTTTATTAAAATATGACATTCTCTGGCATTTTTTTTTAAGGTCTCCGGTCTATCACACTGAAAAAGGACTTTAACCTAGACACTTAATTCTCAATTACCATTTTAAATTAATTTTAATTATTCTTTTAATTTTCAGTGATCGTTTTTCCATGATGTCCTGATGCTTTAAATAATATGGTGCCACCAAGTTGTCTCCATTATAAAACCCAGATTTCAAGAGGAAATGTATTTTTAAAACAATTATGTCTTGAATCTCTAAAGTTTCTTTGAACAAATGTTCCATCACCTTTGAATATTTTGGTAAAGTTTTCATTAGATTATTTAATTGTATATTGGCATGGTAGAGATATATTTTAGAAGAAACTTCTGCAGAGATGAAGTGTTAACCTTAGACTGTTGTGTTTAGATTGACATATCGAATTTAGGGAGATTGATATTTTATATTATTGTTTCGTGAATTAGTAACTTTTCTTGAATTGTCAAAAGGGAAAGAGGAGTAGTAGGTGACGTAGAACTGTAAGTTTTGGAAGTGTCAGTAGTGTGTAATATACCTGTCATATATTAGAGCATTTCTTTACCTTTCAAATAAATGCTTCTTTTTAATTTCTTAGTACTTTTTGAGCATCGTATGTGTACAAAGCATCATACCAAGTATACGTGTAGTGGTTCGCAAAATATTGTCTACAGATCTTTGAGAGCCCCTGAGACCCTCTCTAGAGGTCCACAAAATCAAAACTATTTTCATGATAATACTAAAATGTTGTTTGCCTTTTGACTCTCATTTTCTCAATAGAATACGTTGGAGTTTTCTACATCACTCTGCAAACTAACAGGATGTGTGATCTTGTGTTCCTGTGCTTTAAAGTTCTTGGTTTTAATTTCTGATATTTTAAACGTCAGTTGATAGAACCCAAGTAAACAAAAACTCTTTGCAGTCCTCAGTAAGTCTTAAGAGTGTAAAGGGGTCCTGAGACCAAAAAGTTTGAGAACTACTTCAATGTGGGATACAAAGTTTAAGAGAATTCTAACAGATAAGTAGGAGATAGAGGGTTTTTTAATAAACAGGAGATGGTGGTTGAGTCAAGAGCTATATAGAGAAAATGCTAGGAATTAGGAGACTTTTGAGATTATTTTAATTTTGGTAACTAATTATAGTTAGCTCAGTTAAGTTTTTCTAGTTTAGTGGGCCCTGAGAATCACTTGTTGCCTGTTAGAACTGAAAATGAAACCAGAAATTAAACTGATTTTATTTTTTATTGTGGAAAAGACGTGGTCAAATTTCTTTGATGGCTTTTTTTTTTTTACTCTTTTTTATTCTTAAAAGGCAATTTGAGGAATGATACTGAACTTTTTTCTTCTGCATGACATGAATTTGCAGATGGTGTTTATTTGCTTGTTTGTTTTGGGCCATCAACTGGATCCCATTAAGACGAAGGAACTTAACAGAATTTTAAGTTACTTTTTCTACTAAAAGGTAGCCAATTAAAGGCAGAAAGAAACAAGGGAATGATTTGATAATGTAAGGCCTACATCTGGAGTTTCCACCACTGTTAAATAATTGTGGTGTCAACTTTAGTTGAATGCTAGTTGCTTTCAGCCAAAGCTATTTGAAAATACTGAAGAACAATGTTTAAAGAAAGGAGAAGAGGTCGCTTTCTAAGAACAAAATTACTGTGAAAGCATGCCTAGGAGTTAAGACTGTATCTTTATATTTGACATTGGCGGCAAATTAAGATATCCACTGAGTGTTAAATGAAGCAACCTATAAAGCTTAATGAGAGCTATGGTATTTAGCATGGAGAAGTTAGTAATGCCCTGGAATAGTCAGTTAAAAAGATCCACACTGGTGGATCCAAACAGACTGAAGACTACTATGCGTTAGTAAATACCAAACATGAAAGGTTTCTATTTTAAAATTAGATCCTTATTCGTGGGATTTACTTTAAAAATAAAATGGGTGAGTGGATGAAACAAGATTGGCCGTTAGTTAATAGTTGTTAAACCAGTGTGATGGGTACATGGGGGTTCATTATTCAAGTCTCTTTACTTTTATGTATGTTGAAAGTTTTCCAAAACAAAAAGTAAAATCTAAAAAGTGGAGAAATAGGGAAAAAAGGGGGATACCCAAAAATGGTGTGGGCAAAACTGTAAAATAAGCTTGTTTAGAGCAAGATTGTAAAGGAGAAACATATCATTCCACTGAAGAATATTCAGAAAGGATAAAAGGAGATTGGAGGTAAAAATTTTCTAAGTCAAAAACTACAGAGGCTAAGAAAAGTGGCTCTTAAAGAACCATTCAGACTGCTAATGAAAGCCATTTATAGTTCCTATAAAGTAAAAAGATAAAAAACTTGGCTAAAAGAATAAGGTGTCTGAAACCAAAGGTAACAGCACATCTTTTTGACATACACAAGAAGGCTGGAAAGAGAAAAGAAGAAATAAACGTGAACTTATGGGACGACAGTGCTAAGGGTCAGTTCTACCCAGGTATGTCATGAATTAACTTCATTTAGATTGGATATTTGTTTCCTTTATCATGGGAAGGAGAAGAAGCACATGTAATTCATTTCTTTAGTGAACTAATATTGAGAAATAAGCTGGTATGTAAGAATTTAAGGAATGAAAGAATTCTGATTGCTTAATTGAAAAGTGAATAAAAATGTTGAGACAAAAGGAAATTCTTTGTAGAATAAGTGAAGTATCTCAAAGATGATAAAACAACAGCAAGACTGGAAAGTAGAATAGAAATAAGAAGGAAATGTTAAAGTTGGTAGGTTAGGTAAAGGGTAGAAAAATACTGAAAGAGAAAATGTGTGATACGGTGATGTTTTCTCATTCTTCCTGCTGGGAAAGTATCATGTTTGAGAAACTTGTGTTCATTATAACTACTTGAATGTGGAATTCAGGCAAACAAATTCTGGTAAGATTTTCTTTAGGTCATTTGAATGAATTAAATAATGATGTTCATGGTGATTCGTCTCTAGGAACTGAAGGACTTAACTATATTTGCTTCATAAGCTACTATTTATTTGATTTCAAGTGTGAGTTTATGAAGATAGCACTTGTGTAAAACAATGAGTTACTGTTATGTTGAAGATGATATTTTTTAGATTTGGCTTCTCACTGTAAACCATGTAAGTGAATTTTTCAAGTCTCTGACTTGGAAATATTATATTCTTTGTGTTTTGTTTGCTTTTCCTCAGGAAATGGAATGTTGTGTATTTAATTTTTTAACATAATACAGGTATGTACCTTAGTTCTAATAGTTAATGATTTCATTGAAACCAGTTTATTTTTCTCTAACTGCTACACATCAGCAAGTCATTTTTCTAAATGTTATAAAAATTAACTTTCAGGAACCATTTGGAGCGGTCAGCCCAAAGCCATGTGGCTATCGTGCTTAAATTGGTTTTTGTAAACGACTTGTGTGTGTTTCGTAAAATATGCTTTATTTTAAAATTAGGGCTTCCTGTTGCAGCTGTTCCAGGAGCTCTGAGTCCTTTGGCTATTCCAAATGCTGCTGCAGCAGCTGCTGCAGCCGCTGCTGGCCGAGTGGGTATGCCTGGAGTCTCAGCTGGTGGCAATACAGTCCTGTTGGTTAGCAATTTAAATGAAGAGGTTAGTAAAATAATTTTGTAATGTTTATTCTTTAACTCCATTTCATTTGTGGAAGTTTTTCATGTTTATTTCATTTTGCACTTGCCTTTCTTTTTATGTACATTCATTAGTCAAAGTATTTTCTGTATGTTTCTACTTCTGAATAAAATCTATGTACTTGTTTAAGTAATATTTTATTTCTTTAGACAGTCATATCTCTTTATATATATATATATTTTTAACCTAATTACCTATTTTTCCTAAGAAAAATATGGTGAAGTACCATAGTTTGGCTTTTTATCGTTTTGTTACTCTCAAAGGCAGATATGATCTAATTTGCAGATTTAACTGTAAAACAATTTTGCTCGTTGCCTTTTCTAATTATTTGCTTGTTCATTTCATGCTTATGTGTCATTGCATTTTTTAAATATTATTTTATGTGAACTACTCTAATACATTTTTCTTTGAAGGTTCTTCCAAAGATCTTGACGAGGCACTCTTCCAGTCTTTCTTAGTAATTTTTTCTTTGCAGTTATTAGTCATTGTCTTCTAAAAATATTTTTCAACTTTATTCCCCCCCTTGTTAAATAAAATTTATTGCTGTTATTTTCTTTAGTTGTACATTTTATGTCTGGTATATTTTATTTTGATTGCTATGAAAGCTGGTATGAAATGTGGGAAGCTAAATGTATTAGTTTACAATGTCTAATTTGAGTATTTGTTTCATTTTTGATTGGCCTCTGTTAATATGAACATTAAGCTTATTTTATCATTTAATACTATTGTCATTCACAGTTCTGCATGCTAAAATGTTTGAATCAGAGTGCCTTTGTTTTTCTTTTAAGAATTTTGCCTGCATTTCATAACCAGCCATGCTTATGCAGTAAAGTTCAAAGTTTTAAAATTCCTATGCATGCTTTCCTTCCCTATGTTGAAATGAAATGCTGTAATTTACTCTTTGATATAGATGTACTTTACCCATATTTGTCTTGGATGACTACATTTTACTCAGTTTTTCTTGTACAGTACATAAACCAACCATTTTCTGACCAAATTCCTGCATTTCCTATGTACTGACCTATATTTTATTTTTTTTTTTGTTCCCCAATTCCTTATTTTTTTCTTCTGCATTGCTGTTTCCCTTCCCCATTTCATCCTTTTCCCTGTGTGTTCACCTTCCCTTTCCTTGTCTTTTCCCAAATGCCCATTCCCTTCCCTGTCTTATCCTTTATTTTCCTTGTCCGTGTCTTCATTCCCTGTCTCCATTCCCTATGTTCATGCTTCTGTGCTTGAACAAATGTTCCTCGGACCAACTTGCCCCAATTAACCGCCTTGAACCATGATCCATGACCACCTCACCATTCTGCGGGAACCACCCTTCGTTATGGATGATCTGTTCATCTCCGCTCTTCCTCGACTCTTCTCTCTTCTTGTCTTACGCTGCTTGCTCTTCTCTCCTTCTAAAGATGGTTACGCCCCAAAGTCTGTTTACCCTCTTCGGTATGTTATTGTTAGCACTATACTTTTATTATTGATTTGATTTTTGTTTCACCTTAATTCTTATTTGTAGCTAGCACTTTGGCTTAAAGTTGAATAGTAAATCTTTTGCTATTTTTCTTTGCTATTTAAAACTCTCCATAGACACAAAATTTGTTTTAATGCATGCTGATTTATTTTGCATGGTCTTTAATTTAATATCATTCACATAGCTTTGAGGGTTTATCAGAAATTATTCTTTTCAAAATTCACTGTTCAAAATCTTGATCTTCTTTATTCATTTGTGAGAATGATGAGTTTGAATGGGTGATCATGTTGATGTCTGAATGTTTCATTAATGTGTCAGAAAAATAATCTTTAGCTGACTTGCACATAAAATTAATTCCATTTTTGGATTACCTCTCTGTGGCTCCAAAAAAGGTGTTTATGGAGATGTGCAGCGTGTGAAGATTTTGTACAATAAGAAAGACAGTGCTCTAATACAGATGGCTGACGGAAACCAATCACAACTTGGTAAGATTAAACTGTGTGATATCTATATGTCTTTAAATCTGATTTCAAATATATAATGTAAATCTGTGAATAGTAAGAAACCATTTGTTTTCTTAATAGCCAGGGCTCAAAATATCATGTTAATTTTCATGTTGTCTTTTTGGAGGAAGATTAGCCCTGAGCTAACTACTGCCAATCTTCCTCTTTTTGCTGAGGAAGACTGGCCCTGAGCTAACATCCATACCCATCTTCCTCTACTTTATATGTGGGATGCCTACCACAGCATGGCTTGACAAGTGATGCCATGTCCGCACCTGGGATCCGAACCGGCGAACCCTGGGTCACCAAAGCGGAACATGCAAACTTAACATCTGCGCCACTGGGCTGGCCCTTAATTTTCATGTTTTAATGTGAATAGTTGTACATGATGAACATATTTATATTTTTCTGCTATCCTTTTCCTGTTTCTTAGGTGCAGTCTAACGGAAAAAGGTTTCGGCTCCAGAATTGCAGTAACAATTGCACATAAAGAATTATGATGTTTAAATTAAACATCCTTAGTGTTTTTCATTCCTGGTTACTGCCTATAATATAAGTTAACTGTTTCTGTCGTCCATATAGTCCATGGAATCTTGATTAATGTCATGTTTTTTAATTCTTCTAAATCGTTTGTAAGGTTTAGGCTAAACTGTGTAATGGAAAGAGTCAAATGGAAAATGTGTTTTAGAGATACCACGTTCTTACGAAATGAAAAATTTACACCAAGTACACCATTGTTAATCCCATTTGGAATCTTAAAATGTACTTTAGTCAAGTTACACTTAAATTATTATTTAGATAAATGATTGATGATTTTAATTAATATTGCATTTGACTTCATACACAAAGTCAAATCACATAAATCTAGAATACAACTGCAAACTCACAATGTGATTGACTATCAGTGGGTTCTCAGCTTACAGTTCTCTTCATGGAGATTCAGAGATTATGGTGCCTCAGACTAGTGTTCACAGTGTTAATTTTGAAAGTTGCTATTTTTGATGTAAGGACTATTGTATTTTTGCTATTATATCCAATGAGACTCATAAATTAACAACATGAAATACTGGACCTTTTGGCCTTTGGAGTCAGAAGTAAGTTTTAAATTTCAGTGTAACCAGCTATTGTGGTAGCTTAGACAGTGTATAAAGCTTTATACATCTGGCTATTTTTTAAAATACAGATATCTGTCTTTAGAAATGTAAAGTGCTATATGAAAGATATGTATGAAAGATATGTAAAGCGCTGACCATATCATAGATGCTTAGTAAATCTTTCTCTGCTTGTGTACACTTCTGTACTCTGCTGGGGGTAGTGATTGCCATTTTTTATATACATTGTAAGTAGCATTTTACAGTGCTTCATAGTTAACAAAGCATTTTCAAATATTTTTTTTTCCTCATCACCTTATGATCTGTGGGTAACATTTCCCTCATATAAATAAGGGATCATTATGGTTGAGAAGTACCTGAGGTTAGAATTTAAACAAATTCTTCTGGGTATTTTTTGGTTTTGGTTTATGTAAGGACTATTTTAAATAAGTGATATTTTAATTTTTATATACTTATGTTAGTCTGCTTGGGCTGCTGCAACAAAATAACCACAGACTGAGTGGCTTAAACAACAGAAATTTATTTTCTCACAGTTCTGAAGGCTAGTAGTCCCAGACAAGGTGCCAGTAGATTTGTTTCAGGTGAGAACTTTCTTCCTGGTTTGCAGGCAGCTTCCTTCTTTTAGTGTCTGCAAATGGCCTTTCCTCTGAGCTCTCTGGTATCTTTTCTCTTTTTATAAGGACACCAGTCTTACTGGATTAGAGCTCACCCTTATGACCTCATTTAACCTTAATTACTTCCTTGAAGGCCCTGTCTCCAAATAGTCATGTTGAAGGGTTAGAGATTTATCATCTGAATTTTGAGAGAATACAGTTCAGTGCGTAACAGTACGTACATTTGTAAATCTTATACCCCTACTTTTTAGTAAGATCTTTTCACTAAATCTTTGACTTACTAATGGCATGATTTATAGTTTTTGGACTGTATCTAGTGGCAGATAATGTATTATTTCTCCTTGTTGCTAGGGTAGATTTTGCTTTTCTTGAAGTATGTGACCATAAAAATATGTGCTTACACCATCTATGCCTTTCTCACACACACATGCACACTCAAATCTTACACAAAACTAGGATGTACTATTAGAAAGAATGACTTAAAAAATTTTAGTATGCTTTGTTTCTGGGCTCTGTTCTCTGATTTTCATGGAACTCTATTTGGAATTACTCATTGTTTTGTAATATAAGCAGATGTTTTTATGCTTAGGAAGTAGTATGGGAGAAATAAACAGCAAGGAAAACTAAGAGACAGTAGTGTTTAAATGTGAATGGGATTGTTGCAGTCCTCTAAGAGAAGCCATGTTAAATGATTTCAGAGTTTCAAAGTTTGTAAATGTTAAGATGTTTCTTTAGTAAACTTTTTACCATAGCTTATTTAATTGATACAGTATTTTCTTAAATCAGATATTTTAGGAATAATATAATTTGTAAATTATCTTTAAAAATAGTATACTGGTCCTTGAAGACTTAGATTCTAGCAAAATGCCAAAGAGTAGTTCCTTCATGTTAAAAACAATTATCTGGCTTCTCCAATTAATATTTTTAAGCACTGTTTACAAAAATACTCCTGTTTTTATTTAATATATAGTTGCATCTCAGACATAAACTTATTGGTTCTTCGTAGCAGACCTTTACTTACTAAATTTATCAAAGTGTGCTGTAAAGTGAGTGGAAATCATATAACTCTGCTGTTAGATATTTGAGCAGTTTTTAAGTATACGTATATATTGGCTTTCACTTCTACTGTTATGAATAATGAAGAACTCTTAAGTTGTACTTTGAGGCTTTGCTGGTCTCACAAAAGAGAATTTCAAGAGGTCTTTCCTCTTAAAGGAAAGGAGGGGAAAATAGCAAATGAAATGATGAAAAATGGGGGAAAATATGAATTAAAATGAAGTCCAGATGCATTAATAATAGCAAATATAAAGGAGTAAGTTCATCAGTTAAAAGATTGTCAGATTTGATTTTTAAAATGCTATCTCTTTGCTATTTACAAGAGACATATAAAGTGCAAGGATGTGGAAAGGTTTATAGTAAAGGGATATAAAAAAGATACATTGGGCAAATAGTAAGTAAAGAAAAACATATGCCCATATTAATTGAAGGTAAAGATTATTGAGCACAGATTTAGTTCAAAAGTAAGTTCGAACAGTTTTTATGTATGTATGTGCCTCATGAAATAGCCTCAAAAGATATAAATCCTAAATGGATAGATCTACAGGGAAAATGGAGCAAATCCACCATCATAGTGGGGGATTTCAACCCCTTTCTGAATTATGTCAAGCAGAACAAAAAAAAAATCAAGAAAGATACAACTGACAGAATACGATTACCTTAACACAGTTACATATGTACAGAATTGTGCATCTAACAGTTATATATCCAACACATTCTTTTTAAGTACACATGGAACGTTTATAGAACTGATCACATACTAAACTGTAAAGCAGGCTTCAGGAAATTTCAGAGTAAGCGTCATATAGACCAAATTATCTGACTATTGCACAATTAAGTTGAGTTAATAATAAAAAAAAACATTTAAAATTTCCGTATATCTGGAAATTTAAAAATAAGTTCTGATGTCTCATGGATCAGAGAACTTATTTTAATGAGAATTGGAAAATATTTAAAACTAAAGGATAATGAAGGTACTATACAAATTTAGATATGTGTGGTACAGTGAAAGGTGTTTTGACAGAAGGTTTTAACTTTTTAAGAGTAACAGTATAAACCGGGGGAAAGGAGATGATAAAGACAAGACTAGAGATCAGTGGTATAGAGGACAGTTGAGAAAAAAATATGAAGCTAAAAGTTGGGTCTTTTGAAAAGACTAATTAATTAGCAAGTGGATGTTGAGTTTCGTTTTTAAAAAATGGGAGAGTCGACACAATATTTTGAATTATGAAGGAGATAACTATTGATGTAGCTCCAGTTCCACACTATATAAACTCTTCCTGTATCTTTAAAGTTTTTACATTCAACTTTTCATTATTCATTAATATTTTCTTCAGAGATGGATTAAGGGAAAGGTAAATTATATTTAACCAAAAATGCCGTTTGACTTTTTCCTCCTTTATCATTGATTGCTTTTGTCCATTCATGCCGTATTTTTTGGAATAGATTTCAAGATATGAGTCCCTTTTTTTAACTTGATTCATTTTGAATTATTAATTCAAATACTCTCTTGCCTTGTTTTGTTTAATCATTGTATGTACTTAACTTTTTGACAGGCTTTCTTTTTTAACTTAAAAATCCTGGTATTCTAATTGCCCCTCCTCCCCCAACCCTCATCCACTTTAGATCTCTTTTGTCAGAAATCAGCTGACTAGAATCTCTCTCATAATCTGGCTATGTCTTGAGGTAGTTGTTTGATTATTTTGCTTTGTTTTAACCCCATTTCTGTATCATCTATCTCCTCTTTGTACAGTCACTATGCCTAAGACTTACTGTTTTTTTTATTCCCGCCCTTCAGTATCTCAAAGCTCAGCTGTTTGCGCAGTCTTTCCCTAATTTTCCAAAGCTACCTAGGACAGCTTTCTTATGACAGCCTTAGTCTGCTTTATACCACTTCATCCCCAAGACGTATGCCTTAAAAAACATTTTGTGGGATGGGGCCGGCCCCGTGGCCGAGTGGTTAAGTTCGCGCGCTCCGCTGCAGGCGGCCCAGTGTTTCGTCAGTTCGAATCCTGGGCACAGACATGGCACTGCTCATCAAGCCACGCTGAGGTGGCATCCCACATGCCACAACTAGAAGGACCCACAACTAAGAATATACAACTATGTACCGGGGGGCTTTGAGGAGAAAAAGGGAAAAAAAAAAAAAAAAAACATTTTGTGCGAGGTAATTGCACTTTATCGTAAGCAAAGTTCTATTCACTTGAAACAGTAGTTAATAGAACTTTGAAAATATTTTATAATTCAGATAAATTTTATTAAACAGTTTCTGTACCATCACTGTGAATAATTGAGCTGTTTTTATAAGTGTAAATTTGTAAGTATATGTGAAATGCAGTGTAAGAAAGTAGTGAGAAAAAATTCAGGCCTGAGAGAATTTTTTTCTGTTAGCCTCAGTTGAACATCTAAGGAAAAAGTATTAAAAATATATAGCACTGCACTAAAACAATTAGGAAGAGGAAGCTTTTTACAAATGAGGAAAGCTGTAAGTGAAAAATTTACGTTTGATTCTTTTCTGGATGGTACCTTATACTTCCACGGCATTTTCCTCTTGAGGCATGTTTTATATTTAACTAGTTTAGTCTATGCAAGTAAGTATGTCAAGATGCATGGTTTTAACAAATTCTGAGTATATCCTATGTCAGACTGTGTAGTGTGGTCTACTCATCAAATTAAAAAGATTCTGAGGGTAGGAACTCTTCTCATTCCCTGCCCTTTCACATTCCTTTACCTCTCTGCTCTTAATACTCTAATACTGTGATTTGAGCAGTCAAATCAGACCTTCTGTTTAGCTCAAGCATATGACTTATGAAATAGTCTTTTTTAGTTGTTGTGACTAATGAATAAAACATATAACATGTTAACCGTTCTTGAATCTCAGACAAGTCCATTTAGTTTAAAAATAACCCAACCAGTACCTCAAGAAGTAGCCACATAATGTTCTGTTTTTAGGCATTGTGCTGTGTGCTGGGGTAGAGACAGCGGTTCCTGCCCTCATGTAGTTTACAGAGTGCAGGAGGATAATTAAAATAAATTGTGATGAATTTAAAAAGAAGTAAAGGATCCTCCATGGGGAATACCTAATGAGGTTCTGAACCTTTGCAGAGAATAAAGGAAGGCCTTCCTGAGGAAGGAACGTCAAAGGCTGTGTAGACCAGGAGGGACAGTGAAGGAGACGAATTGTTACAAATAGACCAGCATGCACAGGGGACTAAAGGGAAGAAAAACTGGCACTTAAAGCAACCATGTTTTGTATAGCTGGAGTGTTTAAGTGCAAGGAATATAGTACTGAGATACCAGAAGTTCCATGAGGGCTAGGATGGTTCTTGTCTTACCTCTTGATTCTCAGCACTAAAAAGTGGTTGGTATTGTACATCATCAGTAAATATCTGTTCAAAGAGGCTGGAGAGATAATTTAGGGTCAGACTGGGAAAGGTACAAGCCATGTTAAAGAATGAATTTAGACTTTGTCTCTAAGGGTTTTAAGCAGGTAATGACATGATCAGATTTGCAATTTACAGAGGTCATCCAGCTGCTGTGTTTAGAATGGATTGGAAGAAAGTAGAGGATAATCCAACAGGAGTAGAAATTAGGAGACTAAGTGAGTTATCCAGATCAAAAATAATGGCAGTGAAAAGTGGAGAGGGAGACAGTATGAATTTGAGAGATACTTATAGGAGGAATGGAGTCATAGGACTTGGCAATTGGGATATGAGGCAGAAAGAAGAAGAAGTTACAGATGAGTACTAAGTTTCTTTCTTGGGCATCTAAGTATATGATTTATCAACAGGATTGTCAAAAAAGAGAGATATTTATAATCTGGATTTTCATTCTATGGGAGAAGCTGGCTTTTTTGCCAAAGTGCCTTGTCTAGTGCAAATTAAGTCTTGTCACCAAAGGCTATTGTGAACTCATGATTTATTTTAAAATCATAAGAGAATTCAGATTTTGAACTATTCTAAAATATGAATTACTTTTGCTTTGAACTTTGTTAATGTTGTTTTTAATAGGCATTCTTTCTTTTTATAGCCATGAACCATCTTAATGGACAGAAGATGTATGGAAAAATTATACGTGTTACTTTATCTAAACATCAGACTGTACAGCTACCTCGGGAGGGACTTGATGATCAAGGGCTAACAAAAGATTTCGGTAATTCCCCATTGCATCGTTTTAAGAAACCTGGATCCAAAAATTTTCAGAACATTTTTCCTCCTTCTGCAACCCTTCACCTATCCAATATCCCGTAAGTATTAAAGCTAGAGGTTATTGAGGATATGTGTTTTAAGGATAAAATGTAAAGTTTATTATTAATATTTACCTTTTTTTCCATCCAATTTTTCTAGTCCTTCAGTAGCAGAAGAGGATCTACGAACACTGTTTGCTAACACTGGGGGCACTGTGAAAGCATTTAAGTTTTTTCAGTAAGCAAGCTTTTCTTGTTTTTAAATTAGTAACTTGATAGAAGTAAAAATTTTCTTCAAGTAAATTTTTTTATTTTTTATTTTACTTTTTTATTTTTATTGAAGTTTTTGATTCTGCAATGGGGAAAAAATTCAAGTATTTAAGCCCTTTCTAACATTTATGAAGTATCTAATTTCATAATTTTGTTTCAGAAGAGATCACAAAATGGCTCTTCTTCAGATGGCAACTGTGGAAGAAGCTATCCAGGCCTTGATTGATCTTCATAATTATAACCTTGGTGAAAACCATCATCTGAGAGTGTCTTTCTCCAAGTCAACAATTTAAAAAGGGGGAGATGAAGATTGGGGGTGAATCACATTGTTTGGTGTCATCACCTATTGACTGTTCAGAAAAGTGGGGACCAGAGTTTGATTATTTTGTTGTTTCCTTTTTTTTTTTTCATGCTGTTATCATTCCTTGGTTATAAAATGAAATGGCATATGTAAAGGCAGAGTTATTAACTGCTATATTTCATCTGTTCTATAGGGAAGCCATTTTTATTGTCTGTTTAAAATTTAAGTTTAATTTTACTTTCCTTTTTCAACTTAGTTGACATACGTGCCTTAAAAAGGAAAACTAGTGTTGCTATTGTGCATTTACTAGAAAAAAGGAATTGGTTTTCTAGGGCACATTGTTATATGGGAATTATAATATGTTTAGGCAGGGGTGTGTAAAAAGGTTAAGTTTTTGTTTCTCCTGCTTGGAACTTATTTTGAATTATTGGCTTGTCACATTTCTTTCTATTTAGTCAAAGATACATGATATTGAAAGAATAAAGCAGCATTTTTTAGTTTTACTACCTTAGGCTTTATTGCTTTAAAAAAACATTGGCCTTTTGTATCTCACAATCTGGTCTAGATTCAGTTATGAATGTAGGCATTAGTTAAAATTAACAAGATGCAGAGTATTAATTTCTTAAGACAACAAAGTGATTTCTGTAAGTTTGAGCCCTATGTGGAAAGCATTGTGGAATCTTAACCTTTTTGTACACACTCTTGTGGGACGTATCATATAAATGTCAGCACTAAGTAATGTCTTGTTTGTGGCTGAATATTTTTCGTAGATGTTTTTGAAGTTGACATGACTTACGTGCATTTAAATATATATTGCCATCCTTAGTTTGTAATTAAGATTTGGAATATGGTTGTGGATTTCTGAGCATGTGCAGACTGGTCTAGCTAGTTCAGGAACTGGTGCATGTATTTTTCAAAGATAAAGAAAGTGTACTGCGAAAATTTGCAGGAAGATTAATTTTGTGGCAGTTTTCTAAAACTGACAACCAGGTGGGACCAAAGTTTATGTGCCTTTAGTCTTAATTTACCTTGCATTGTAATATTCAGTTTTAATAAATCTTCAAAATATTTTGTATTTAGGAATAGATCTGACTTTAATAAAAACATGGCTCAGAATCTACAGGTCAAATTAATTTGAACAGTTCTTGTCAATCTGAATTGTTGATTCTGTTTAAATGACCAATACTTTTTGAAATTGATGTACTTAGTTTCAAGATTCATAGATTCTGTTATCTATGTAGACAGAATGGTCATGTATATTTTCTATTAGTTGAGTTTTTACATCTTTAGAAATGTAAAATTCAGTATAGTTTGAAAGCGGCACAATTAAAAATTAATTTTCTAACAAAGTTGGGAGGTTTGATGGTTGTTTAATTTCCTTTTGTGTGTACTCTGCTTACCTCTGTAGCATGCTCAATAAACACTTCTGTAGCTCTGTATTCACCTTTTCTGTCTTTCTCTGCTGCCTTTTCTCTCTCTTCTTCTTTGTTTTCACTCCACTGTGCTTCTGAATTCATGTTTATTCTCTGCCAGGGTGGGAAAGGAGTAATAATATTACAGTTCTATGGCTTTTTACCATAAATAAATCTAGATGCTGTGAAATATACCAGCTGGTTTTTTTTTTAATTTAAAAGATGGTAACTGCTTTTCAGGAGGACACATATTAAACATTTCCCACCCTGTTATAATCTACTGCTTTAAAGACATAACTTTTATTGTAGCTTGTTAATTCCTTCTATCTCTTTTGTTGTTGTTGTTGTTTTTTTTCCAGTAGATTTATGCACTAATAGATCTTTTGGATTTGCCATGCTCTCTTGCTGCAGTTTCATCTTTCATCTTTTGTGTCTGCTAAAGATTTCCTACTAATCTTAGACTACCTTGAGAATTTTAACAAAGGGGATTTGATGTTATTGGGAAGAAACAGTAACACATCATCTGTTTTTGCCTTGGGTGGGAAGGAAGGTGTACGTTCAGTTATTTAAAAACTTAAGGGTAATTTGTAATGTTACTGCTTTTCACTTTTTAAAGGATTCTGATTAGGGTGCTATTTGTATTACTCAAAATAATTTTGGTCACCTTTTTTAAACAGGTATATTGGTATCAGATAACTACAGTTATACGTGTTCCTTAGGCTCCTTCTGTTAGAAAATAACGGACAGTTATCACACATTAGGAGAATAAAAAAGAAATGAAGGTATATAATATACATTTAAATATGCTATATTAATACAATAATTCAGTCACCTCCAAGGAAAAAGAATATAATAAATAAAAATAATTGTTTACATTTGAGTTGACAACATGGGGGCAATTTGAAAGCTATAGGTGATCTTTCATATTTTTTCTTAAAATAGCGTTGTAGTACAGAGGCAATCCAGCAACAGCAGATGTGCCTAAAGTCTAAAAAACCAATACCATGGTTAATGAATAGTAAATGAAGAAAATTTCTTTGTTTACTTTTCCTCAGTGTTGGGTGGTGGTTGAAATACCTGAAAGTTGGTACCATCTCCTTTGCAAGTAGTTCCTTGTGGCTGGTATTGACCTGGAAGAAGAAACAAAAGTCCTAAGGTACGCGTAGGAACCTGGTTGCTCCAATTGCCAAGCTGGGGAGAGTTCCCAATATCTCCTGCAGGGGATGACCAGAAACCAAAGTTCTTCCTGCCTAGGGAGTGGCAGATTCTACCATCTCTTACAGTACACCCCATTGCAGCTGTCCTTCCAAAGCATCATGTCAGTGAAGTGGGAATTTTGACACTAGAGTATTTTAAATTTGGTACAGTAAATTAACACAGTCCTTGGCATATAGTAAACTGCTTAAGGGTTAGGTGAAAATAGCAATTTTGTCATCATCATTAGTACCACTGTATGCCTCAGAGTCTTACCTCGTACAGTGAACTTAGGGGCCTTAACTTGAATATTTCACTTAGGAGAGAACTTGATTTTTTTTTCCTATAACAGAGAAAAACTGATTTTTTGACATTAAAGATGATTTTGGAAATGGGTTTCAAAGCACTTACTTCAGGAATGAATTTATACAGTTTAATGTTGGAACTCTGGCATTTGAAAGCAGCTATGAAAACCCTGGCTTAACAAGGAAGGGTAACAAATCATTCTATTAGTTCTATTAGGAATATATTAACTAACACTTTTGAGGCTTTTTAACTTCAAGATTTAAGGTTACTATAATCAAATTATGGTAATTAATTTGTTCATGCAGGTTTTGTGGGGGGTTTTTTTGAGGAAGATTAGCCCTGAGCTAACTACTGGCAATCCTCCTCTTTTTGCTGAGGAAGACTGGCCCTGAGCTCACATCCGTGCCCATCTTCCTCTACTTTATACGTGGGACGCCTACCACAGCATGGCTTTTGCCAAGTGGTGCCATGTCTACACCCGGGATCCGAACCAGCGAACCCTGGGCCACTTCCGTGCGAACTTAACCACTGCACCACCCGGCTGGTCACTGTTCGTGCAGTTCTTTTTGGACACCATATAGTTTGCAGGAAAAGGACAAGTCACTTTCTTAGCCTCACTTTCCCTTATCTGTAAAATGGAGGCAATACTGCTCTGCCCGCTTCACAGGATTGTTTTGAAGCTCACATACTGTTAAGTGCGGAAATGCTATGCCATTGGTAAACTGCTACGTACAAGAAAAAGTTAGAATGCCAGTGTCCCACGAGTGCCGCTTTTGCTTATAGTAAACTTTTATCCACAGTAAATACTATCCTCTCTTCTTGCTACAAAGACATACTCTTTAATGGCTGTTTTAAAGTTAGTCTGGTAAAGCTAACATAGATACATCATATTTATAGACTCCACTTAAAAATGAGATTTTGTATGTATATATCTTTAAAGGTTGCTGTGAAACTTGGAAGGAATTCTAATAAAGACTTTCAAGCCTATGAAGGGAAGAAAAGACATTCTTATGATTAGCTCAGGACTTCAAACAAGATTTCCTCGCTGCCGTAATATCTTAAAATGGAGCATAAATCTGAAAACATGTTTTTTCAGTCAGGAGAAGTGGGTACAGGATTGTTTAGTGAAATTGAACATACACAGGTTTCTATTTTAGCTAAATATTTGTTTCTGGAAAATCTGGTGGTAAGAATTCAGTAGAAAATTTTAAGCCACACTATTAGAATGTTCACCAATATCAAAAATCTTAATTTTATGGTTACTCTTTATTCTCCTGAATATGTTTATTTCTTTTAAGTTACCTGTTTCAGATTTTGCAAATAAAAGTATAAATGTTGGAGTATCAGATTACCCCACATTAAATACAAAATGAAGTGTTCAAGTATGCAGAAAAATACAAAGAGAACATAATGAATATTTAACGCGCTTACCATTTAACTCTTTCACCACCACTTTCCATGCTTTGTGTAATTTTTATGGATGATTTAAAAAAATAAGACATTACAGATTGAACTGACATCCATTATATACCTCTTCTGATCTTAATCCCTACCTCATCCTTTCTCCAAAGGTAATTGTTACCTTGAATTTAGTGGTTTTTAATCCAGTGGTGGTTTTTCAAAGGGAATTCATTCTGTATTCTATAGCCTGAATTTTTGTACCTAGTTACAAAAAATACTGCAAATACTCTAATAATCATGATGATTAAATGGTACAATATTTGTCCAACACACTCTATAATTTTTTAAAGTTAGGATATTTGGAGATTGATATTCCCCTTACCAAATCTCATGGCATTTAACCAATTTTAAGGAGGTTTTTAAATCAATTGCTTTTCAATAAATATTGAATAAGTTGTTTGAGTCTCACATTTCTCCTAAGGTAAAATGTAAAAAGAAACAAGGAGCTATTAGTATTTTAAAAGCTGGAGTTATGTGTGAGATCCTTAAATACAAACATACCGTTTCTAGGTTCACATGGCCACCCCTGCAGCTTTCTTCTGCCTCCTTGCTTCCCTCCCCTATCAATTGACGGAAAGTATTTGGCATCTTTGTTTCCGTCCCCTTACTTCGTGTGTTGTTGTATAGGATTTTTGAGTCAAGGAATTTTAACTTTTTATTACGAAAGATTTCAAACATAAAAAAAAACTAACAAAAGCTGTCATTCAGCTTCAGTTACCAACTTAAAAGCTTGTTTCTTGCACCCACTTTTCACTTCCCATATTAATGCAAACCTCAGACATATTTCATTATCAGACTGTTTGGCAAATGTTTCATACAGTGTTTTATTCGGGTCATAGTTGCTATAATAAGTGGGCTAGCCTAGCTTGTCAACATTACGATTTTTTTCAGGTCCTACAACTTTTCTTCTTAGTGCAGTCCCCACACCAGCAGCAATTAGTATCATCTGGGAGCTTACTAGAAACTCAGAATCTCTGGGGCCACCTCTGACCTGCTGAGTCTACAATTTGACAAGACTGGCAGGTGAAATCGAGTTGAATATTAAAGTTTGAGAAGGACTCCAGTAGGACATTTTTTTCATTTCTATGAAAATCAGCTTAAAAGATTTTTTTCTTGAGTGTGAAAATTATATTGGTAACTTTAAGTTATTCAAAGGTATGTATTGTTACTACACTAAGAAATAATTGTATAACTGAAAAGGACCCTGTACCTATAGTTTCTAACCTTTTGTTTAAAGATAAACACTTCTAAAGAGGTCAAATGAATAGTTTAGCAACATGTTTATGACTGACTTGTAATTAGAATACAGGTCCCTGGGTTTCCAGTCCCGTCCTCCAACCTATTATGCTCCTTAAAGGAAATAGAGCTCTATTGTTAGTTATTTGTGGATTAAAATTGTAACATACAAGTTAATAGATAAATAGCTAATAATAAAAATCATTTTTTTAGTTTAGTACCAAACGTCAAATCTACCCTGACAGGGAAAGAACTTCCATGTGAATTGATTTTTTTAAATGACTGTAAATTAACACTATTAAGCCCTGACTCTCTTATGTTATATGGTGTAATAAAATGATCCCCTTGGGTCTTTTAGTAAATTGACAGCTTTCCTATTAACTGAATGCTGCTTCAGTTTCTTTCCCCACCCCAGTTGGATAGCACAGTTTTGTAGTTTAAACACCTAAGCGTTACTGAGTGATGACTTTGATAGTCTATGAGTTTGAGCTGTGGTATAAATATAGATTTCACTGTGCCATGGTATGCCTTCAGGGGCTATTACCTTTACCCTTAGCATAGTCTTTTTAATGTTCTTTTGGCTGGCAGTTTTCTCTACTGTCCTATCTTGGTGAGTATTTCGTGCTTACCACCCTCATTGCTGTCTCTAATTCTTGTTGCTGCATAGCTGTCCATCACTTAAGCTATTTATTTCTCTTCATTTTTCGAAACTATTTCTCCATTTTTCATAGCTTTTTCTC